TAATTACTGTTGATGTTTTAAAATAGGTAAATAAACCTAATTTATATAGGTCATCCTCAACATATCACGTGAAGTACGTTTGTTTTAGAATTAATTTTTGAAAATTAATAACTCCCTTAATAAGGGGGTATTTTTAAAAAATAATATTTTTCTACATTCAGTGGGGATCTGCGCAATACCCAGTTTTAAATATGTACGTGTATTTCAATAACACCCCTGTATATCTCTGCTTTTATGTGACCATAAAAAATGTTGATGAATACCAATTTATAAAATTAAAACAAATGGAAATATTATTTAAGTATTTGAATGGTCCAAAAAAAAGGGATACGTTTAATTCCATTTCAGCTAATCGTTTGTGTACGTTTAGCGCATAGTACCCAGATACTGACGATCGGTGTCTGGAACATTTGTAGTCATATAAAATATCTCTGCCTATAAAAGAGACAAAGCAATTTGGATTAATTTAGTTTACTTTAATAATGATAACAATAATTCAATTTTTCTTCAATTATAATACAAAATTTAAATTTAACTAATAATATTGAAATACTTATAATTAACCATATGATTCGAATATCTATCTAAAAAGAATAAACAGGAAAAGCACGATATTTTGTTATAAGAGTTGTACCACTTTTATATGACGCGAAGTGTACGAGTCCATTTGAAATAAATTTTCTTTTTCAGTGTAATATTTTTTTGTAGGTTTTTTCTTGTAACTACTATTTTTCTTAAATATTCTTTATTTGCTATGAATCTGGTTTCTAGTATTAAAGTTGCCCAGGGCTGCAGAATTTTTTACTATTTCTCTGTTCTCTTTCTTTTTCTTTCTTTTTTTCGTCTGTAGGTTTCTCTTCTCTGTTATTTTTGTTGTTTACAGTTTTTTTTGCCTTCTAAAGTTTCTTTATTTCCTGACATTAAAGATACCCGTTTTATTAAAATTAAACCTGTAATACTTACCATTTTTTTGACTTATTTATAATTTCATTCCGACAGAATTTAAATATTTATAATAAATAAATAAAAATAATTAACGCTGAACATATATAAAAAAATGTTGGCTAATTACCCAAGTTTTTCACTGCCAAGAAATACACAAATCAACTATAAACAACTATATTTTCAATATTAATATACATAGATCCATAGTGATTGAATTATCAACGAATAATGATACAAATGTGTGATATACCTATGTGATATGTGGCCATGAGAATCTGAGGATACAGAAACAAACATACAATTTAGTAGCAAAAACAAAAAGATCTACATTTATAATCAACAGAACTGAAGGTTATCTTGACAAGAGATTAGTAGATGAGATTAGCCAGTTCTGAACCAATGTCAGAGGTACAAATAGAGGTAATTGGGTAATTGGTAATTATCCTAAGTACCCACCCCCCCACCCTTCGCGCAATTAGCAAGTGCCTCCCAACTACTATGTACATCATGTAATGAGTGTAATTGCATGGTGTAATAAGTGTAATTGCATAGTGTAATGAATGTAATTACTTTATACACATAGAGATGTAAATACCTCGAGTATTTACTTTGTATATCAGGTAGCGTGTAAGGAGCATAGTAAGTACTTCTTACAATGTATATCATGTAGTGTAATGAGTTTAATCTAAGTAGATAAAATGTAATGCATCCATCGCCAACGTGTCCAGCTCCCTTTCAAGTCTACTTATTGTTGATTTTAAGTCGATGGGTTTAGGCCAGTGCTCAGCGGAATACATCATCCACATATCGAAATATTCTGAAAAAATATACAACCGTTATTAAAGGGATAAATATGGGTCAAGTTATATAAAATTGTAGAAATTCTTAATGAAGTAATGTGTATACTATATTGTAATTAAAATTAAAAAAATATTTACAGTGGCTTTACCACAGATGAATTAATTAATTGTTGGCTGACTAAATCGAATCTTATATGGGATCTAGTAGGTAATCAATAACACGGCGCTTCCCCTAAATAGAACAACGCATATTGGCCGGCAGTAGAATTATTTTAAAAATGCGCCTCGGCATCCAACATTGGAAAAGCTCAAGTGAAAGCCGATCAATTAAATGAATAAGTAAACATTTACCATATCTTGTATTTTTGACAAATATCGCCCTAATAATATAAAGTTGACCTACAACTAATGATTTTAATTCCCGCTGATCCAGTATTGTGGGCCACCAACTAACTTTTTTAGCATATCTATCTAAGCTTGAGCCATGGTAGAATCCAACAATTTGTTTTTACCTGTATAACACACAATACTACACTTGGTTATTATCTGGAACTTTTAAACACGCTTAAAGCTTACGATTTTAAACTGATTTAATTTGGATATGAGCGCTATTATATACCCTCTGCTTCCCTCCACTATTCATCTGAAGATGCGCGAAGGGTGGGGTTCTACCCCTTCCATCAATGTTTACGTCGCCAGTGTCTGTTGAAGACTAGCGCTTTACTCTAGCTATGGCAGTTGAGATTTAAGGATGTGTTTAGACATGGACTTATTTTCCGTATACTACAATAGTAATGACTGGGATGTACTTAGGCTAAACTTATTACATGATATATATGTATATACATAGTAAATACTCTCTGAGAGGTACTTACACCTCTATGTATATGGAGTAATGAGAGGTACGATTACACTACGCAATTAAACTTATTACAGTACATGATAGTAATTGAGAGGTACTTGCTAATTGCGCGATGGGTGGGGGGTGCGTACTTAGTATAATTACTAATTACCCAATTACCTCTCTCTGTACCTCTGACCTTGGTCCAGAACTGGCTAATCTCATCTGCTGAGATTGAACGTAAAGAATTATTAAAATATTAATATACAATGTGAGTACGTAACAAAAAATATTCTGATGAATTAAGAACCTCCCCCTATTTTTGGAATCAGTTAAAAAATTCAGAAAAATGAATTGTTTCCATTTACATAAATAAATTCTATCTAGAGTGAGCTTGTATCTTAACTAGAACATCTCGCAGGTAATGCATGTATTACTAAATAAAATACAACAGAAAACCTAAAGGATTCACTCTCGACGTCAGACCGCCATCAAGACTGAATCCCCGTTCCCATTTCTGAGGAAGATAGTATAATAATTTTTCTTATAAGCATACGAAAATACTGTAACAAAATAAATGAGAAAACAAAGTTCACTTGCTTGATACTAAATCTTGAATATGGACCGAGAAAACAAGGTTAGAATACATTTTGGTAAAGTGGATTCGCTAAAAATCAGTTTAGTTTTAACGGTTTAAATATAAATGGACATGGAGAGTAAAATATAAAATAGAAAATTAATGGCTAAGGTTAACAAATAAATGTACTTTATCTGGTTGGCTGGATGCAAAACTAATATTTATTTATACATTTTGAATATTCGACCTGAATAGGGTATGGTTAAGCTAACGGTATGTCACACGCCTAAGAAAATTTAAAGCTTCGCCAATCAGGTCCTACCTTTTTTCCGTGGCTTCCTGACGCAGACTTCTCTTTCTAGGCGTGTCCACTTTAAACTGCAGGGGCCGTGGGCTGTATTAGGAGCTAGTATTTGAATGTTCGGAAATGTTACTTGCGGGTTTGTACCGAATTATCACAATGCTGGAATACTCGACTTACTCTACGAGTTTTGCGGCGATACTGATGTTCTACCGTTTGAATACAAGAATCGTTCTTGGCCACACAGATGTATTTTGATTGTTTATAAAGTTGCATTATTAATATAAGCGTCAGCAACTGCTCTGATTTATTTAAAAATGTCTACCAAATCTTCATCTTCTAGAGTTTTCAAATTCATTTGGAACTAAAATTAAAAGCAATTATACTCCCATCTTAATACCTGATGGTAATCCAAGCTCCGGCTCCTCTGTCATTTGCCATGCACTTACTATTATCATAATTTCAAAAGGTTAATCAACTTTTCAAAATTACGTTACATAACAATATAATGCTGTAGAACTCATATTATAACATCTATAAAACATATTAAAACAACTTAAGGGGAAAGTAATGTAAAACTGTTTTCTGAACTTCCCTTTGCTACCTTTATAAGAGGTGCAATAAAACTCCTCCAGTAACGAACATTGCGAGGTTCCATGGACGTTATAGTTAGATTAAAAAAACATCACACATTGCGGAATTGCGGCTTATTAATGTCTATGTGCTAGAGCATACATGGTACATTTCTCATTAGTTAACAAAATGACATTATTCCGAAATGTGTATCAAAATACTGTTTTGTAATAAAATTTGTATTTAATATGTGACCGGACTATTATTTTTTGAAAGAGCAATACCAGTTATGTAAACAGCGGCCGACCAGAGTTGCCGTACGTTTAAAAATAAAGTCATATAATTACGTTTTTTGCCATTTTGACCGCAACAGTTTCATAATGTTTCGCATTAAAGCTAAAATTGGTTCGGAATTGCGTGCTTTCACGTCATATTCGAACTTTTTATGTTTAATATTTTGTTAACAATGAAAACGGCCAAGTGGAAAAAGTTTTCAAACCAATAATCTGGGATTCAAATTTTGTTTTGTGGTATTAGCGAAGCCTGGTCATAACTGAAACAAAAAATCTTCAATAATATACAGTGTGCTTCACCAGGATTTTCTTGTTTATAAAAGTTCCGTTTATATTATTAAATAATCTTTCCAAATACCACGCGAGATGAGATTTTTTGAAAACATTCAGCCGAATGGTATTTTGAGAGGATTTAGTTAAGTGAAATTTTCATAATTTTTAACAACAAAATGTTCTCAAAAAATTAGAACCGCTTGTGGTATTAACAGTACGTTAAAAAAAATATCAAATTTTTTTCCATAAAATTTAAATAATACTCGCATGAGTTGGCCATGATTTTTCAATATTGTGTTATATATAATATATTAATTTAAAATAATAAAAAATACCTATTTATTTTATTGAATAACAAAATAAATATTTTAATAATAACTTTACTTAACATATAATAAAATTTAATATATAGAAAACTTAGTTTTCACAGCAAAATAATCTCTCATGGTTTGACTCGATAAGTAAATAATCCAGACTATTTAAATCATAGAGAAATTTCGTCACTTCTTTGAAGGTTCCTCTGGATCTGCAAGTAAAAAAATGCATTAATTAATATCGAAAAAAGCTTGGTCATGATTTTTTGCGAGAGTATCAATATTATCAATATTATCAATATTATCAATATTATCAATATTATCAATATTATCAATATTATCAATATTATCAATATTATCAATATTATCAATATTATCAATATTATCAATATTATCAATATTATCAATATTATCAATATTATCAATATTATCAATATTATCAATATTATCAATATTATCAATATTATCAATATTATCAATATTATCAATATTATCAATATTATCAATATTATTAATGAGAACAAATACCTTCAACATCTTCGGTTGAATTCCAAGACTGCTCTTCGCCAGAACCCAGTAAACCAAAAAATACTGCACCAGATAACGCTACTGCGCTGCTTAAGTAAAATACTTTCTTCCATTCTTCGGGATTTTGCTATAAAAAAAGTGAAATTAGAATTAATAAAAATAAATTATTTTAAATAACCGGGATAAGGCTAAAAGATTTATGGACCAAAAACAACAAATTGCTGTTAAACATACTATCAATTATCGTTTAATACTCTTCCTATATGATGATTTATGCCCAACAACATCATCTATCACTGCACATATTTCTTTCTTTAAATCTTTTCTGTTTTCTAGTACTCTCTTGTCTCTCTAGTTCTCTTGTCCTACTTCATTAATTCTTCTAATTATTTCTTCTTTTATATTTTTTTTAGTTTTTTTAATGATTTTATTATTTCTTTTATTTTTATCCATTTTCTTCATATTTTCTTTATTTTATTCCTTTCTGTTTTCATTAATTTTTTCATCATTTTTGTTATTTTCATTGTAATTGGTTAGGGTGACGAAAAAAGAGGAGTGACGTATGACACCTTGTGAAGTGGAACCGTGTATTTCGATAAAGGCATGAAACATAAAATATGTTCTTAAAATCTAATTCTGCAGTATAATGGCATTTGCACATCAATTATTTTTGTGTACTCAAGAGGAATTAAAATAAAAGTGTTCCTATTTGATATATATCGACCTTCTTATATATACTTTTTTAATTTGTGAAAAATTTAAATAAAAGAAGCTTACCTCATCGTTTACCATAAACTGTACAATAAGCGGAGCCAGTAGAGCAAAAATATGGGAAAATCCATTGATAAATCCTTGCATAACACCTGCATGATTTGGAGCAAGATCAATGTTGTTTATAAAGCAGGCGCACCAATTACACCCAGCTGATCCAACTGCGCTGATGAGGAGGATTACACCTTTGGTGGAATGTTCTGCGTTACAATTGGACAGGAATAATAGGAATATACATGGTAAACCCATTCCTGAAAAATTATACAGATTACTTACCTACAAAGAATGAAAATGGATTAACGAATCTTGGATATGACATCTGTTATTTGCTGTAAGATAGGGGAAAAGCAAAATGATCTGGTGAGTGTTCAAATTCACTGATCTTCAACATACATGTGACTGACTGTATGTGGAAGAAGAAAAAAAGCAAAAAAAATATGGTTAGGCGTGAATTAAAATGATCATCAAGAAGCTTGGGATATGAACTCAGATCATTCTTAAAAAAACCTTTCTAGATTAATTAATAAACAAAGAGATTGTAAATGTTTCAAATTTAATTTTGTAACCATTCAGTACTACTAGGAACTCAAGAGAAGCAAGATAAAAAATCTTAAATTATTAGTTAGGAATATTTAACTACCAACAAGGGAGAGTACAGCCCAAATCAGAAGATTAAAAGAAGAAACAATTGCCCGAAAGAAATTAGAGAAAAATTATAGAAAAAGATAAATAAATTTAAACGAAAATGGAAGTAAAACAGTGCTCCTGTAAATTGATATGTATCTGAGTAATTTATCTTGTGACAAAAGAGCTAAATATTGACTCTGGAAAGCTACTAAGAGAGTACTTTAAAATCTTCAGAACTTGGACCAGTAACAACTCCCAAAATGCTTTTATATTTGCAGATCACATTGCACCCAAATGATGAAGAAGAACATCATAACTGAAATAAAACAAAACCACTCAAAATATTATCATTAGACAGATCTATTTCTGGACATATTTCTTCCAGATTTGGAACTGTACCAGCAAAAGCTACGTCAAACTTAATCAATAATGGGTAAATAAGCTATTAAATAAAAACCAAAACTTACCAATTCCTGTAAATAGTTTTCTTGCAGTTGTTATTGATATGTAATTTTTATTGGTCAAGTAATCTGATAGAGTACTGATTACTAAACTCACTGTCCATTGTGTAAGGTAAATTAATGAGGTCAAAAGACCATTCTAAAACAAATATTAAGTAAATTAACCAATACTTATTAGAATAGGAAATATTTAAACTTACGTTTTTAATATCGAATTTCATTATTTTGCTCATGTATGTCGGAATTTGAGTCAGCAGAATCCACATAACTAATACATTGCAAGTAAATGCATATGTACATGCCCAAAATGGTAAAGATGTAAAGATTTTTCCCCATGGAGTTTTTTGCTACAAAAAGGAACGTTCTATACCTACTAGTGACTAGGACTGTTTAAAATTTTAATTTTTCCTGTCATGTGGATCTCTTTGGAGTAAATGAGATAGAGATAGACTATAAATCACTAGGTGGACTAGCTCAAGAAAAATGTTACATTATTATTACTTACTTGCTTTGTATTTGGATTAATTACAGTCTTGACTATGAAAGCTCTCTCCTCTTGCGTTATAGATTTGTGTGCTCTCGGACAGTTGGCACCAAATATCATATAGTAAACACACCATATTATGGCTAGGAGACCGAAGAAGTAAAAGATCATCGGCCAACCGTACGAACTGCCTGCTATAGCTCCAGCTATTGGCATACTTATCACGGTTGCCAATGAGGTACCTATTTATTAATATAAAGAAAATTTAGAGATTAGTAATCAATGGTAAGATGATCTAGTGATTATATTTTAGATAGACAATTAGATATTGTATGCAAGAAGCTCTAAACATATTAACAAAATGAATAGAATATTAAGGACTACAAATTAGTATTAACAAATCTACCATAATTGCATTGGTAGTTAAAAACTAGGATCTCTAAATCTTCGAGGAGAAGGAAAAGGACCTCAAAGATATAATTGCTACTGATCGCAAGATGCTTCATTGGACAAAAATGGAGTATTGAAACCAGGTAGATATACAGTATGGTAGTAAGAACAATAATGACATACGCAGCTTTGATGTAGTGACCAAAACCTAACAAAAAGCAGTAGTAACAAGACTTAGCCAAGATACAAATACTTGGAATAACTGGGACAATGATAACAACCGCCACAGCAGCAATGAAGGTCACTTCACCTTCAGAGAACTAGGATTAGAGTTTATAGAAAACTTTGAACAATATTAACATCATACAAGGTCATATTATTATCACAAGGTTAGTAGCAAGGGATGTGTTAGACATGAAAGCAGATCACCAAGCGCTACTCCTTCAACACCCTGTTTGAATTTTTAATACCAAATATAACGTAGATCCCAGTATCCAACAACAGAAACAAACTTAAAATACAGATGGGTCCAAAACTACGAAACGCACTGTGGTTGGAGTATTCTCCAAAAACACCCTAGTTAAAAATAAAATCATTGATAAATATGTAATAAAGAAATATAGAGTATGTTATGATTAAAAAATATTATTACCTGAAAGAATAAATGCCCCAGATCTACCCCTCTCGGTAATTGGTACCCATCTGCTAATGAAACCGGAAATACTCGGCACCAGAAACGATTGACATAAACCTTGCGCGACTCTAACAATAATAACAGATGTTGAACCAAGTTGTTCTGCTACCACTGGCGTCAAGAATGCTGCTAAAGCGCATACAGCTGTACTTCCTGTGACAAACCATTTGTGACCATAGCGGGTAACTAGCCAACCGGTTATAATTTGCGGGCCTACGTAGCCCCAGAAGAAAGATGAGAGAATTACGTTTTTGTTCTTCCAATCAAAAGTCTAAAAAATATATTGTCAGTTATAGATATTGATGCTATTATGCAAAGTAGAGCGAATTATTTTAATTCGTCTACTAGAAAAACCAAAAATGGTTTGATCATCTCTGTATATGTAACGTGTAGAGGGTGCATCCTTCCAAGTAAATAGGCACCTCCTAGCTCGTGAGCCAAAACAATAAATGAGAGCATCAGGTCGGAGAATATGCTTGATGGCTTATCTTCTTTTCGTACCCCTGTAGAGTGCATATTCTGACAGCCCCATGCAATGGAGATGCTCCTATTCTTGGAAATGACCAACGATCAGACGCTGATTCTGTACAGATATAGTCAGTGTCGGGTTGAGACCTCCATGGTCTACCCAGGACACAGAAGGGCCCAGAATTTTTTTTCTTGAAGAAGGTCCTCTTCTGTTTTTTGAATTTTTACTGAGAATAGCTATCAACTTTTTTTTTCTGTACCCAGAAATCTGCACTATATGATAGCCGTGTAAATACATTGCATGTCGACCACTTTGAGGTTCGACGGCAATGTATGTTTCTTTACTCTGTTTTCCAAATGGTTTTGCCATATTTACTTGAAACTAGATAGTTTATAAGTATTTTATTGTATTGTATTTTAAATTTGAAAAAGGCTCTCTTAAAATTTCCTAGTGTTTCACACATACAAGTGTTTGTTTGGTTAACGTTTTCAAAGGTTGTCAACGGTATTTACTCATAACAAACATTAACATACCGGTATATCTTTGTTTTCGTTGACATTTGGATCTGTCATTGCGACAATGGTGAGAGATAGATGCTGCCTCATACATTGATTCAGTAACACCATAAAAAAGATACTCATAACTTCTATGTGCCTCTTTCCAATCTTTGGACCTAAAATAAGAGCAGAAAAATATTATAACAGAATTAACAATACTATACTAGGGTGTTCCAAAGAAAATTTTGAAAATTATATTCTCCTTAAGCCTCTTCTTATGTCACGTGGTATTATAGAATTAAAAGAAAAAAATTGTCACTATTTATGGGTCCCTATGATTTTAGTAAAAAAAAAAACGATATTTTGGTAAAAAACTTGATATACACTAATACAAAAATATTATGGAAATGTTAATTTAAATTTACAGTTTATACAAGTTATTGATACTTTTCTTAATTTTTCGTAATCCTGATATTAAATATTTGGACACCTCATTTTGCGTATTTGCTCTTTCGAGATCAATGAAGTTGTGATGAGATGGCCACAATTTTAGGTCCTAGCAAAGGAAAGAAGCAGCTCTTTCTTTTCAGTTTGTAAGGAGATATTCTCCATTTAAGAAGCAAATTATCGTGCTTCCGTAAATCATGAAGAATATGAATTATTGGGGTACATTCTAGTGCGGAATCTACATACTTATTTCTAAATTTTTTATTAGTTTGCTATGTATTACAAATATATTAAAATTAAATGTGACGTTCTTGTGACATTTATTTATCAGAGAAATGTCACCTTTACTGCAAGACATTAAAAATAAATTTTATTGCGTAGAACGTAAAATAAATAACCCATAAAATAAAACAAAGAATCTATCTTATGAAAAATTAAGCTTCTCATATAAACAGGCTAAATTTTACAACAATACAAACAATATTTTATTCGTCTAATATCCTTTCGTTATAAATATTTAACATTACATTTCACACCAAATCTTTTGGAATGTATACAGGGTGAACAAAAATTTGTTGATTTAAAATGTTTAGGGGTAATAAAAAGTGGTTGGTTAAAAAAATGCATTTTTATTGAGACGGCTTTTGGAAGATTAAACTACTTAGTAAATAAGAATTAGATCTGGCTCAATTTGGGTTCCCAGGGGTTTTCAAGGTCGCTGATCACGATTATGATTGACCCACAGCTGACTTGGAGCTCAGAAACGCTGACGAACGTCATCTCCGTAGGAGTCTCCCGAAATTCACGCGGGGAAGGAGAGAAACTCAGCGCCCGGGGATTTTTTGGCATCGGTGAATACCCCCCGGACACCCAGTGTGCCGGAACCTAGACATCCCCGAGAAATTTCCTGACAAGATCGGCAAAAACAACCCTAAAATCATTGTGGGGAAGTTTTTTTGAGCGCTGAATTCAAATTTCACGTCAAAAACGACCCCCTGGACACCTGGGGCACCGGACCTGGACGCGGACCTCATCTTCGTGAGTTTTCCTCATACAATCGATGAAGACGAACCGAAAATCGTTATGGGAGGTTTTTTGGGGTGCTGAATCCAAACTTCACGTCAAAAACAACCCTTCCAACACCTGGTGCACCAGAACCTCGGGCTGAAGGTCGTCTCCGAGGGTTTTCCAGACACGATCGCAAAAGACTAACCGAAAATCGTCTCATAATTTTACACATTCGTTGATGTGTAACTCTCGCCTAGGGCACTCGAAAAAGTTAATCCAGTCCTGTAAATTTCTAAATGCCGGGTTTGAATAAAACGAAGAGAATTGCGAGAATAATCTCCTGCTAGATCTCTGAACTTTGCCAAGCAGCTTTTCACTTTTTTCCCAACGCTCGAAACGATTTTGTGTAAGTATACACAGAAACTTTCTTTTTTCAGAAAAATTCTCGGGGATGACGTCCACGTTTAGGTTCGGCTGCACCAGGTATCTGGAAGGTGTTCGACGATCCCACATTTGAATTCAGCGACCCAAAAAACTTGGGGGCGCCGAGTTTCTCTCCTCCACATGAATTTTGGGAGAGTCCCACAAAGATGACGTTCAGACCGAGGTTCTGGTGCACCAGGTGTTGGAAGGGTTGTTTTCAACGAAAAATTTGGATTCAGCTCTTTAAAAAACCCCCCATAACGATTTTCGGTTCGTCTTTTTCGATTGTGTGAGGAAAACCCACAGACATGAGGTCCACGTCTAGGTTCCGGTGCACCAGGTGTCCAGTGGGTCGTTTTGGATGTGAAATTTTTCTTAAGCACCTACAATGATTTTCGGGTTGTTTTTGGCTATCTTGTCCAGAAAATTCTCGGAGATGACGTCTACGTCCAAGTTCGGGCGCATCAGGTGTCAGATGCCACATATAAATTCAGCATCCCAAAAAATCCCCATAACGATTTTCGGTTCGTTTTTTTCTATTGTGTGAGGAAAACTCACGGAGATGAGGTCCGCGTCCGGGATTTTGGTGCACCAGGTGTTCAAGGGTGGTCGTTTTAGACGGTAAATTCGAATTCAGCGCCCTAAAAAAACTCCCATAACGATTTTCGGTTCGTATTTTTCGATGGTGAGAGGAAAACCCACGTAGATGAGGTCCACGTCCAGGTTCCAGTGCACCAGATGTTCAGGGGATCGTTTTCGACGTGAAATTCTCGGGGATGACGTCCACGCCCACGCCCACGTCCAGGTTCCAGCGCATTAGGTGTCCGGGGGGGGGGGGGGTATTTGGTGATGCCACATTTGAATTCAGGGAATCAAAAAACCCCCGGGCGCCTCTAAGAACCCCATTTGGGCCAGTTCTGACTCTTATTTACAAGGCTCTTTAATCTTCCAAAAGCCGTCTCAAAAAATCTATTTTTTGAATGCATTTTTGGTTGCAACAATGCAATTTCCGGTTTGTATAAGATAAAAAGCAGGGATATTTTTTCAAAATATTTTTGGAAGCGAATGTAAAACCAAATTTCGATCCGTCTTAGTCTAAACAATTCCGAACTTTTGGTCTTTTTAGTGTTTCATTGCCTTGACTAAAAGATGATGGCCTAGTCACGGTAATTTTATTTAAATACAATTATTGTGGCAATAATGTTAAGAACATTTCTTACTTCACAACCGAACAAATTTAAGACAATGATTATTCTTTTAATCAAAAGATAATTTTTTATGAGTGGTACTAATTTTTACAAGTGATCTATACAGAAATTGTCTGAAGTTACAATTGAGCTAAAGTTCAATAACCAATAGTTTTGGAGATACCGGCTAAACGATTTTCTTCGTATTTCACTCATTGAAAGTTTCTTTTACACTACACCAAAGGTTATTTTTAAGACTGTTATGAAAAATGATGAATAGTGATGGTAAAAAAGAAACTATTCGGTACTTGAATATCGTTAATTGAAGATACCAAAAGTAACGATCCAAAAATCTTGATTACTCGTAGAGAAAAACTTAAACAACTATTAAATCCAACAATTAATACAATAATTTAATAAAGCCAGTCTTCTTACAACTATTCATTTTTCATAAGTCTTAAAAAATTCTCTTGCTATAGTTCAAAAGAAGATAGAAAATATAAAGTTCCAGTGAGTAAAATACAAAGACCATCGTTTAGCGAATAAGACATTTATTGGCCAGTATTGGTTATTGGACTTTGGCGCAATGGTAACTTTTAATCAGTAAAGCTTCCTTATTATTAATTCAGGCAATTTTTACATAGATCACTTTTCCAAAAGGTCTAAGCGGGGTTCTTTAAAGCGACCCTCAATTTATTTTGCAAAGTATACTTTAAAAAAATAATTTTCTTTTTTGTACTTACCAGTATCCACGATAACTGTTCCTTCTTGTTCAATAAACTTAAGCTCCAATTCTTCATCCTGTTTATCAACTTTACTGTCTTTTCGCAAAGGCTCGAAGCTGACAACTTCACCTGTCAGAGTACTACTTCCTCTTCGGTTCATAGTTCAAATGACATTTATCAGTTAATTGTACGATTTAATGTAGATAACACCAAAATGGTTTTGATTCTTTAATCATTTGAATTTTATATACACTATTTTTAAAAGTATTATAAATATTTAATCCTTTTTATGAGATAATTCCATTCAATGTTCAAAGAGCTTAGTTTAACGGTTTGCAATGAAATAGGTAGTTATTTAATTGTATTGTTAATAAAGGAAGTTTTTAATAGAGCAAGATAATTTGGTTTGTTTTTGTTAATTTCTAGCAAATATAAGCGATACCAGATTTTTTAATTTCGTAAATGGACATTTCAGATGTCTGCCTACTTTATTGATTCCACGTGGTCTTGTGTGGTTCTTGACAAGAAACAAAATTCGGACCACATTTAGTACCTAGTTGTAGGAAATTGCACTATTATTTTTTTTTTTTTAGTTAAAAATGCCCCGAACAAGGGAAAAATACATTTCAAGAAATATAAGGAAGCAGTGGGATACCATAAATATGACGAGAGCAATAATTGCTGTTAAAGAACATTCGTTAACTTGTAGACAGGCAGCAAAAACATATTGTGTACCAAGAGCTACTTTACGAAAGTTTTTGAAAGTCGATGGAGATCCTGACCGCATAACTGTAACTACTTTTGGAAGAAAAACAGTTTTAGATAAAGAATTGGAGGAGGAGCTTGTTGATTACATTCTCACAATGGATGCATAATTTTATGGTCTCACAAGACAAGACATTCGAATTATGGCGTACAAACTAGTTCAACAAAATGGTATGAAAAATCCCTTTAGGAATGAAATAGCAGGAAGAATCTGGCTCAATGGATTTCTACGTCGCCATAAGGAAACACTTTCTCTAAGAAAGCCAACTGGCACAAACGCATCACGATTTTTTGATAACCTGGAGCAGGAGTACAATAAATACAATTTTCCACCGCACAGAATATTTAATGTCGATGAGACAGGTCTATCAATAGTGCAAAGCAAGGTCCCTACTGTAATTGATCAAAAAGGTAAACGACTTCAGCAGAACGAGGATCACTTGTGACATTTGTTGCCTGTATGAGCGCTGGAGGACAATTCGTACCACCATTGTTAATTTTTCCCAGGAAAAATAGAAATGACCAGTTGATCCGTGGAGCTCCCCCGGGGACAATTTAAGACGTACATCCCAGTGGATGGATTCAACTAAATCTCTTCACGAAGTGGTTTCATCATTTTATACAGTTTGTTAAACCGTCTCAAGATAACCCTGTTTTGTTAATATTGGATGGACATTATAGCTATACTCGCATTTTGGAAGTTATTAGCTTAGCCAGGGAAAATCACATTTCAATAGTGTCACTACCACCTCATTCCACGCATAAATTACAACTTTTAGATAAAAGTTTTATGGGTCCGTTTAAGGTCTACTATAGCGAATAAATAATAAATTGGATTCGTGTTAATCAGCGTCCTATTTCAGTTTTTGAAATAGCTGAGTTATTGGAAAAGGCATTCCTAAAATCACAGACCAACGGGAGTGACAGGAATTTATTCCTTCAGCAGACATATTTTTTGTGATGCTGCTTTTATTATTGAGCAAGCTGAAGCAGTTAAAAGATGCAGCAATTCTAAAGAAATATCTACCACCAGCAATACGTCTCAAGCTCAGAGTTCCTCCCCTGTGTCCAGTTCAGCATCTAAAAATAACGAAAATCCTAAATCTGCTGAGCCAGAATTTTTTTATAATGATCCCCAACCCGGATGCTCTAGAAATGTTGATGACCTTCCTGCATTTTCCGAAAATATGAATACACTACCTGGATGTTCCAAGAGTTTCCCTGTCCCGACTTCTGGTCCGTCAAAATCACTAACGTTAGTGTCGCCTTTTGTGATTTCCTCAGTCCCTTCCATACAAAAGAAAGTAACTAATTGTGGAAAAAAGTCTGAAATTATAACCTCTTCTCCATACAAACACAACTTAGAAATTTCTGTTGAAAAAATAAAAAATATTGGTGAAAAGGGAAAACGGAATGTGTTTGGCAAAACTTTGGTCAAGGGTAAATCGAAATTCCAACCAAAACCTCCAAAACCTCAAAAACCGAAGAAGACTGGTAAATCGTCTGAGTCTGAGAGTGAAGTGGATGAAATATTTATTTAGGATAAAGATGTGGAAGAATTCGGAACTCTTCCTGAAAATGAAGATGCAACGTGCATTTATTGTGAAGGACTTTTCTCTGAAGATGTCAAGAGCGAGTTGTGGGTGTGCTGTTTGATGTGTCATATGTGGCATGAGGCATGTGCAGACACAGAACGCGGCGAATATATCTGCGATTTTTGCAAATAAATTTTTTTATGTCACATTCTTTAGAAATAAATATTTTTTTTACGGTTTAAGAAGACTTTTTGTTACTTTTATAGGGTGGTTCATATTTCAAGCACTTTACACAAATCTTAAAAATTTACAATTTTTGTATGTTAAAAAACAGAACTAATGATAACGATTTTTTCAAAAATGTGTTTATAACTATGAAGTAAATGCTCCTAGTAATTAATTTCCCAAGTTACACGTTAATTAGTTATTTTCAAAAAACAAAATGTGGCCCATATTCGGATCTTCGCCTCTAAATTTTAATGTTACCCTTTTTATTTTATTTTCGCACCAGTCATGCATTGTCTAGACTTGTTACAATAGAGACACCTAATTATTTTTCTATTTCACTCTTTCTACAATACAAACAGAGATGGACTTAAAAGGACAATAAGAGTAGACATTTGGCAAACAAAATTAAAATTATCTGGGTTTTTTTGGTAAGTCATGAGATATACAATTTAAAACATTAATCATTATTTACTTATTCAGCCTCCAGTGATATCTAAAGGACTAGCAGGTACTTCTTAAATGTTAAAGTTTCCTGTTGACTATTAAAAAAAAAATACTGTTTTGCCATTAGACTTATAGAATCCAAAAATAATATACTAAATTTAATTGCATCGAATATACTATTATTATTTAATTTTTATTCAAATATATTTTGACGGCTTTTACTATATCTAGACCAACTATTATTATTTCTACTTAAAAATTGATTTAATTAAATAATAAAACAAAATATTTACTGTTCAAAAGTTGCATATCACGATTACAAAAATAAACATTACTAAATTAATAATATGTAACCAAACATTATAATTATGTTTTTTTTTTCCATGCGTAATTGGTTTCGTAATATTTGATTTGTATTTTATACTATCTCTGGGAAGATATATTATTTTAGTTAAAATTACCTGGATGACGGAATGAAGAGTTAAATAATAAATTAGATAAGTTTTATAACATTTACATGTCTGCTCTTAAAAATATTAACGGAAATCCCAACTAAGTTAGTAGAAAGTAATTTAAGTAAACAGCTCAACTTATTCTTTAATCTATCAGCCTTTATCCCATAAAGATTTAATTCCTGTAAGTTACCTGAAAGCTAAATTAAACATATACAGGATGGCCCAGTACAAGAAAGTTAATTTCACTATTATTTCTAAATTAAAATTTTCAAACATTTTAAAATCAATTTTACCCAATGAAGAAATAAGATATCAATTTTATTGAAAAAACGACTACTATAAACAATATAAAATTAGATAATTTTTAATATTATTTTATAATATTGATATGGAAATTTTTTTCGATAACGCTTTCAAGGTATTACTTCACAGTAGATTTTCGTATTCTATTGATGAGCTTTATTTTATATTTTTTAATTCCTAAAAAAAGATTTTAAAAACAGAAACAAAAAATAGTTTGGGAGCTAAAGTCCAAAGCGCTTGTTATAAACCATCTTGTTCCTTTAATTTTAGTAAACATACTTTGTACTAAACGCCACCTTTCGGGTTTGGTGAGCAGTTATGATAGCGTAGCTGTCATTAGTATTTTCCGCTAGACCAATAATTAAAATTAATTCAGTATCTACAGAGAAAATGCAGTTCTTTGTTCGAAATATTGCAATAAAATAATTAAAAATTACCCTGGAATATTTTACACTAACCTTGTTGGACTGCATCTAAGATTGCTTCCTCCCATAGTAAACAGGCTGTTATTTCACTCTTGAGTTTCGCAACGCTAGTTGCTAAGAAATAAGCCAATCTTAAAATGACATTTTTCCACTTAACATGTCATTTTAAGATTCGCTTGTTTCTTAACAATTAGCTGTGCAAATGATCCATATGAAGAAGAGTCGACGACCGCTCTTAGTGCCGGTGTTATCAAGTTGGCGATAAGAAATAAAAACAGGAACTAGCAGAATCAATAAAATAGTCTGGAGGCTTTTGATAAAAATAATAGATGTATAAAATATTAGGAGTTTGATAAAAATTGAATAGCTAAAATGGCTAATTAATAATACTATAAGCAAATGACACTGTATAAGTCATAAAGTTATCCAGGTTCAAACAAATAAATGTCTGAGTTACCTACACAAATGCAACCAATAATGGTGTCGTCATACGCAACTACAATCGTTTTCAATCCACACATACTAAATATTATTATAAAATCGTTAATTAAAAATGGAAGGCCAAAACCTACCAGATACTGATATTAAATTGAAAATTGCTAAAAAAAGCCTTTGAAGAGTCTGGAAGAAAAACAAATCCAGAAAAAAAAACGAAAATTACTCCATACTAGTTTTTTACACCCTTTCTGGAATTCGTCTGCTGCCAGAGGGTTCTCCCCAACCAGACTTGGGTTCCAGTCTGGCTCAGGGACTTATAGTACCACCATTTGAATGCCCTACGCCTTCCTATTCATTCAGCTCGTGCATTCTATCCATTTATTCGAATGTGTATATACACCCCAAGTTCGGTCACAAATCAATATAATATGCGGTCCATTTACAGCTGCGCTGTGATTGGTGTTTTGAATACCTTTTATAGTCAGCCATCGGCTCATTTTGGTTACAAAAACTTTCTAATAACAAAAACTTATATTTGAAAAACTTCAAAAACAAGAAGAAGAAGAAAAAGAAGAATAAGAAGAAGAAGAAGAAAAAGAAGAAGAAGAAGAAAAAAAGAAAAAGAAGGAGAAAAAGAAGAAGAAAAAAGAAGAAGAAAAAGAAGGAGAAAAAGAAGAAGAAAAAGGAGAAAAAGAAGAAGAAAAAAAGAAGAAGAAAAAGAAGGAGAAAAAGAAGAAGAAGAAGAGGAGAAAGAAAAATAAGAAGAGAAAGAAGAAGAAAAATAAGAAGAAAAATAGGAAGAAAAAGAAGAAGAAAAAGAAAAAACGAAGTAAAAGAAGAAAAAGAAGAAGAAACTGTCAAACATTTTATTACATAAGGCAAACCATTACACTAAGGCTATTAATGAAACAAATGCAAGAAATACAGAATATCATATCGTCATCATTTTAAAACATATTTATTTTATAATTTAAGTAACCAATGTAGTAAAAAATAATATTACATACATAATATTTGAGTAAAAGTTAATTAGACCATATTTTTTATGCTTCTTCACTATCTAAAATAAAAAAAAAAAAAAATTAGGAAAATATATTTTCTTTCGACTACACAAAATCGCCTAAATTCTGTATGTTTGTTTTTCTACCTACGACCACCATGAGAAGAAGCAGACTAAAACGCACGACCTACAAGCGCAGTAAATTACGAATAATAAAAAAATCGAAAGGTAAATATTGGGTTGCGGCTTTAATCAGGAAAAATTTAAACGATTTATGAGAATGTGTGTGTGTGTGCGTGCGTGCGTGCGTGTGTGTGCATGTGTGCGTGTGTGTGTGTGTGTGTGTGTGTGTGTGTGTGTTTCTGTGTGTGTGTCTGTGTGTCTGTATGTCGCATAACTCTTGAACCGATACACAGAAAAACACCAAATTTTAAACTTAAGCTTTATTCCAGCATCTAATGAACTGATTAGATGTTGGGCAGAGTCGGAACATCTGGGGGGGTACTTTATAGGTGGTAATATTTATATCTTATTGAATATATTTGTTATTTACGTTTGGAGAAGAAAATTCTTTAAATAAAAGTTACTTCTAATATAATTATCTATAATTTTTATTTACAAAATTTTTCTAAAATGGTCCGTATTCGAGAAAATTGACAAAATGTAAAAAAAAATATTTTTTTTATAAAAATTGATTAAATAGAAGTTGTTTGTAATATAATTTTCTATAATTTTTATTTTATACATAATTTCTCTAAAATGGACCGTATTCGAGATATTTGAGAAAATGTGTAAATTTCGAATTTTGAAGAAAACTCAAAAACGGATAAAGAAAAAAACATTAAATTTTATACTTAAGGTTTATTTCGGCCTGACGTAAAATGATTAGATTTTGGACAAAGTCGGAACATCTAGGGGGGTACTTTATGGAAGGCCGTTTTTATATTTTATGGAATATATCTGTTATTTATGTTTGGAGAAGAAAATTGTTCAAATAAAAGTTACTTCCAGTATTATTATCTATAATTTTTGGTCTATGTCAAAATTTCTTGAAATGGTCAGTATTCGAGAAATTTGACAAAATGTGCAAAATTCTGATTTTTATGAAAATTGTTGAACTAAAAGTTGTTTGCGATATCGATCTCTATAATATTTGTTTATACATGATTTTTCTAAAATGGACCGTAATGGAAAAGTGCTAAATTTAAATTTTTTTCAGTATTTTCGTTTTCAATGAATATCTATAGAAAAATGTGTCGAGGTAGATGTATGTGGACAATGTAAATATTTAGTTTATCCTCTAAACATTTATAGAGATGCTGCAATAGGTTGTACAAAATAATCGGAAAAAGTCTATAATAACTAGATAGGAAAGTCATGTGTTGGACACATCAGATTTTTTGTTTTGGGTAGATGCACTGCTATCAACAATCGTTTGAGTATTATTTATGTATTTTATAGTTTTGTTTTCACCGTTATTTAAATATTCCTGCAGCTTCCTTTTGACATTAAAAGTTTGCGTTTTTGTTGGATCAGAAAAAAATTTAATAGTTGGAATTTGTATCTCCTTTTTCATTTTTAATACCTTAAGAACTTCTTGTGGACTGAGAAAACAAACTTTTAGTGGTCTATTTTTATTTTGGTCTTTACCCAGTCTGAACAACCTTATATTTGTAATATCAACATCAATATCGCAAAATATTTACCAAATTCCTATTTAAAATAAGTACGAGGCATTCCCTTCTTATATTTTTTTAAGAAACAACTTTTTAGCTACAAAAAAATGCTCCAGTCGCCATTTTCAACACCAAAATGATAAACAAACCATAGGTGTAGTGAAGAAAAGCATTTACTTATTAAGTAAATACATTTACTCTAATTTCTTCTGAAAGTCTACTTTAAGCTTTAAATCAATAAATCTCCAAAACTACTGAACTAAAGTTCATAAATTTTACATCATTATAAAGGGAATTGAAAGCTCTTTCAAATGATGAATCATTCGACCCCCCTTTCCACTTAAGATTTTAGAGATAGTGCCACACCTTCGAAAACAAAATAGACGCGTCTGAGCGTTTTTCCAAAAAAGAACTGAGCAGTAAATGTCTGTTTTGTTTTCGATACGCTACCCTGTATACTTTTTAAAAATATGCCGAGAATAAATATTATTTGCATTAAGACATTCTCAGAATAATACACTAAATATATTTCACAGGACGTTGTCTATTTGTCACGTTGGACGTATTTTTTAATAAAAAAAGTCACGATTTACGAGTTCTTTAATAATTAGGGACCAGCTATGTCCCAGGGGGTTAGACGATAAGGGTCTAAATAGTGTAAGCTTTAAATTACTATAACTTGACTTCGTAGCCCTTAACTATATAAGGGTTCTACTTTTGATATAAGATCTAAGACTTCTCTGTAAAAGGGCTGGAGGAAACAGTGTTCTCAAAACAAATATATTATTATTAAAGTAATCATGCAAAATAGGTCCTAACTGGACATACAAATATGGGGCTCAATATAATAATAAAAGACAATAAAATATTAACTTACCAACTCCAATATATACTTTGGGGCACACGTCACAATCCTTACCGCGATTCAAATACAAAAAAAGAATCCAGTGTGTAACCTCAATTCTCCTTTGTTATTTATTTCTTTTTTAGTTTATTATTATATTTAATAATTATTAAATAATTAGCCTTGTACATGATTTTAAATTAAAACAAGTTCACGACATAATTAAACAATCTTTCATGTACAGGATGTTATTTAAATACTTAATTAAAATTTGAAAAAAAAAATGTTAATTTATACGAAGCGTGACAATATAGCAGGGACAGAAGTTGAAAAGGCTTTTAGTAGGTAAAGAGATGGTAAACATCAAATTCGTCGGATGACTTCAAGACTTTCGCTCTAATTTTTGTTGTATCATAGAATACAAATTAGAAAGAAGATATACAGGGTGTTTAATCTCAGACGAGCCATCTTGTATATTTCTTATCCCATAGTAATTGGAAAAATTTCCCGAAACACGTCGGATGATTTCCTTTGGGGGACATCTTTTGATGTATATTAGAGGCTTGAACGAGCAACCCCCTGTGGGGGGGCGCTTCAACCATTCAAAATTAATAGGGAAGAGGAGTTAAGTGATACTTCATTTGTAAGGTCTTGGAAGCCTCTTTACAACGGTGTATGAAAAAAATCACATTCTTAAAAAAAATTAATGGAAAAAACTGATATTTCCTTCTATTTATCTTCATCTCGGCCAAAACCAATTAAGTCAATACGATATCTATATTCCGTAGATGATACCTTTCATTCTTAGAACAAAACTAAAATGTCATCCACGTTGCGTGAAACAAAATTTAAAATTTGATTAAGTGCCCTTACTAAAGCTGCACTTTGTATTCTAAAAGGTACCACACAAAATCTGTATACTACTCCATCTATCAAAAACCCTGTATATTCTATATTTCTTTTATTTGATAGAATTAACCATTAACTGTATTTTTTTTTCAAAGATTCCATCTATATTCATTGGTATTGATATACTGAATATTTTTTAATATGCTTAGCATCCAAACATAACCTTAATTTTCCATTAGACTTTTTAAATTTTAACTATTGGACTTATATTATACTTTCATTTAGCATTTTGCTAACCTACTTACTTATATCTTGCCTAAACTTATACTATATGCTTTTACCCTGAATTTTTTAATTCCATCGACCTCAAATTTATGAAAATGATTCTCTTTCACTCTCATTTCTTTCATAAATAACTTATCGTATTTCTTTATTAAATTGATGACTTCAATTTTATTCAACCATATTGATTCTAGTCAGTATTACAACCACACATAGAAAGGCCTAGTAAACGAAACATGTAGAATATATTATAAAAGTAATAACACGAATATTTACCTATGTAAGTGGTCGTAGGTAAAATATAGTAAGTAATACATGCTGTAAAGCAACTGCGCACTCCTGGAATTCACTTTTTCTTTCGTGTGTAATATATTAACACTTATTACGCAATATACTATTAAACATCAATCTAGGCGATTTCGTATAAATCCATAAATAGTGCGGTCATTACACACTGTATAATGCGTTTAAAGAAATGTCGTTTTACCTTTTGTACGAATAACGAACCACACTCGTGCAACTTAAGAACACAATTGAATCAATGTACGCGTTAAGTAATTTGGTCATTACTAAAATATTTAGGTAATTTAGAAAAACGGTTTTTAAATGAATAATAACTTCTTTAGTATTGCTTGTCCAGATAAAAGTGTGAATACGGAAAAAAACTCAACTCAATTTTAAATCCTAATGTTTATAATTGCAATGTCGTTAATACTAATTTTTGTTACGAGTAGGTTTGAAAAAAATACGTCTATACATATAGTTTAGCGAATTTTGATCATTGTGGTCGTAGAAAAAGAATAGTATAATACTTGTGCAAAAAATCTACGTTACTATTTGCAAAATATACTAATTATGCGGTGACTAGAATTATTATGACAAGTAATATATTTAAATATTTTTTTGTCAACTAAATAATATTAGAAAATACCTTCGTCTTTTTTGTCATCATTCCACGGTTGAACTTCTCCAGATCCAAAAATACAGAAAATAATAGCTCCAGAAATATATACAGCGCTTGCCAAGTAAAATGTCCTACGCCAGTGAACCTGATTCTCCTAAAACGAAAATAAAATACTCAAAATCAGTAACCACATAAATTTATTTAGCGGTTTCGGCCCAAAGGCCATCAATATGCCTTAACAGATAGGAAAAGCATGTAGTCCAAATAACAAAACATAAAAAACATTAATTCAAAAGCAACAGTCGAAGATACTAATCTACTCGGATAAGGTAAAATTATAAAATAAAAGAAATAGAAAACTAGGATTGACATTCCTAGTACGTTGACTCAAAAAAAAGGTCCCTAGAAATAAAAGGAAGTAAGTTGCACCAATGAAGAAGTCAGTAGGTCGAAACCCACCTGGATATTAATATGATTATGATTACAACTTTATAAAATTAGTTTATACATACTTCATCTGTAACTAAAACTTGAACAATAAGTGGAGCAAGAATTCCACATATATTGGAGAACCCATTTACTATTCCTTGTACAACTCCAGAGAAGTTGGGAGCAAGATCAACATTGTTTATAAAGGCGGAGCAAGTGGCTGCGCTATTCGTTCCAACTCCAATTATCAATACAACCACCCCCAGAGTGGCGTTTGTACAGTATCCCAAGAATATTAAACTTATCGCTGGAATAATCATTCCTAAAAAATCGATAAAATTTTTAAACCTTCAATTATTAGAGGAGAAGGTACAAATATGGGCTACCATTTGGTTTAATTGACATATCTGACACATTTTTAGTGTAATTTACGTGAACTAGAACCTTTTATTAACATTATTTTATTTTGTTCAAATAAGAGTGACATAATAGCAGTTATTTTTAAAGTGATACAAATATGGGCTACTACAGAAAATACCTACAAATATTAACTTAAACGTTTTATTCAAAGGCTAAATTGGAAAAAAACAGGAGCAATTACCAAAGTAACACACTACTAATCAGTTCGACAAAAGTCACAAACATAGTTATCTCTGTCAGCGCCATAAACTGTACATTAAACACTGAACCCAGAGTTCATCTTTGCGGTCTTCAGAAAATCTACTTTCCCAGAATATGCATTCCGCATCTAAATCATATGGTTTCTTTTGTCCAGACGTATCATCTATATCTAAATCGTGATCCGCTGGCGTAAACTGTGTTTCGTCATCTTCACCTTCAGACTCTTCTATCGACTGCTGCTTTTTATTTTTCCTTGATGCTTTGGACATCGAGATCTTTTCAGCTGATTGAGAAAATACTTTTTTTAACCTGTTTAACATTTTGCTTATTTTTATTGGTAATGCTCAACAATAATTCATCTTTATAAGGGGAGGAAGTAATTACCGCTGCTTGCGATGATTTCCTACCCCAATTAGTTGTTTTCTTTTTAGTTATCAGAAATATCAAAGGGTGATAACATTTTTCTTGGCATTCCAGATGGTCCAGGTTGAGCGTTGTCTCTATATTCGATTGAAATGTGCTTGGTGTGGTTATTCTTTCAGAAGCCGAATCGGACAAAACATTTGTGGTGACACTCAATTCACTTTCAGCGGTGCAGTGTTATTTTTCTGATTCTATTTCCTCAGCAAGAAAGTCCGCTTTTGAACAAATATGTTTATTCAACGGAAAAATTCCAGTAGCGCGGAATCCATTTACTGCAATTTCTCCAGTTTGGGTTTTAAGATAGGCCTTTCCAAAAAGTTTGCCAATGTCATATTGAGATAAGGGACGATGATTGTGGCGAATCCATTGTCTAATCTCCTTACTGTAGTAAGCCTTTAACGCACCCATGAAAGTCAAGAGGCTGTAGTTTATGGGTGGAATGAGGGGGTAATGAGATTATTACCACGTGATTTTCTCTAGCTGTATTAGGCATTCCAAACAAATGAATTACCAGTGGGCAGGTGTGGTATATCTAAGGGTGGCGACATATGGTGTATTCTATCTACTTTACGTAAAATCATGAATAATGGATTACATTTAAATATTTTATGTCAAACACAATAAAAATAATATTCAAAAAACCCACCTATACATTTCTTCATAAATTGGCAGGCTTGGCGAGTACTACTTCAAATAAAAATAGCGTCCAAGTTGCAAGACTATGTCGCTACCCCCTTAAATATACAAGAATTTCCCACTGGCACCTATTGTTTGACAGGTCGTTGGAATGCCTAATTGACAACTTCTAGGTTATGCGTATGACTATAATGCCCATCTAAAATTAGAAGAACAGGCGAAGTTGCAGACGGTTTTACAGTGTCAATGAAATGTCTGAACCACTGGGTGAATGACGTAGCCTGAACCCATCCACTAGGGGGAACTACTGATATTGATCCATGCAGGTTATCAAAGTGATTAAAGAACCCCGCTCCCATGAAGTTAAAGAGGCAATTTGTCTTTTTCCCTTACTACGATTGAGCACTCCGCCTACGGCGTCGATCTCAAATTTCGTCTTCGTGCGATATAGCCACCATATCCATTCTTGTTGCATAAACTACTATTTTGCAACAAGAGTGGATATGATGGCCATATCGCACGAAGACGAAATTTAATCACGACACCGTGGGCGGAGTGCTCAATCGTCTGCGAGTGAGCAATCCACTCGAGTTGTACAGTATATTTTTTCTACGACCCACTACCGAAAACTTAAAAATAAAAAAAATATTTTAGGTTATTAAGACAAAATAACAAATTTTAAAATAATTTATAACTTTATATAATTTTTAAAATAAAATAAACGAAAAAAAATGTTCTGAGAATCGAACTGCAGTGTACCGTGTGGAAGGCAGGAACGCTAACCACAGGACCATCTATTCTTTTATTTATGATGCTTTAATACTCGTTATTAAATTGATTTCATATAGTTTTATTATTATAAATTATAATTATAAACGAAATAAAAACAGAAATACTTTTAGTCTAAGAGCCAATGGACGGCTACCTGTATGTGTTTGACCATACAATGAAGCCCTTATATTTACCATACCTGCGATGAGGAGTCTCTAAGCCCAAAGTGGTGGACGTGGTGGTCACTCATGTAAGACAGGTATCGATTTTTGCCAAATTTTAAATGCATTTGACCACGTCTGCCATTTTGAAATTTGGTCAGATGTATGTTCCTTGTTTCAATATGATTTACGTTATTACTTTATTTATGGGAATTAATATTTAATTTAGTAAACTATGGACTAAAATTTATAAGTTTGATGATAAAAAAGTAAATATATTTCGAAAGGATCTCAAATATTGCAGATAACAAATAATCATTCAAATATTTATTTTATTTTCTTCTTTTTATTTATTTAAGACAAAATTAATAATAATGATCTAAAAAAATGAATCATGCATGCATTACAAAATATATTTTTTTTCCATTAATTTGAATTTTCATTCATCATCATCGGAATCATGTCTGTCGTGGTGTGACTCGTCTTCATCATCCATTCTGTAAAAATAAAACGTAAATGATAAAATAAAAGTTTTTTGTAAATTGATCCGAACATATTTGATAAAGAATTGATTATTATGAACTTACTAGGGACTTGAATAATCAAGTCACTCACGAAAGTTGGGAGTTGATCTCCTTCGAACCATATAAATACCAATTTCTCGTCTTAGTCAATTCAACCATACTCTAATGGGTCGAATGTGGTAGGTTGATTTTTGCAAGCATTTTTCCAAACTGTTAAAATATAATGTGCTCTAAGAAGTTGCTGGTAAAGCTCACTTTTACAAGGTGGTATTGAGCTTGCAACAAAATTAAACATTTTTTTGCTAAAATTTTTATTGACGTCGGAAGCTTTATAATTGCTGACGAAAAGTTGGTACCTTCCATCATCAACGTCAATAGATTTTTTTGCATTATAGAGCTGACAGGTAAATTTCTGTATACTGTTAAATACCTCTTGTTACTGGTCCTCTGTCAAATTTTCTTTACCAAGAGTAGCAAATGCTTGTTGAAATTCAATATTTTTTTCAGCAATGTAAAAGGTTTTTTAACCTTTATTAAAAAAATCCGGATTGAAATCGCATCCTGTGAACGCATGGAAGCCAATTAAGCTTTTGGCTAACAATTCACCAAGCTCTTTGTAAATTTTTGTGACGTCAATATACCTTTCGTTATTTCCTGTTCCATTGAGCATCCAAATATTAGAATTAGAATTTTGTAATTGTGTCATATTACCAATCATTATAATTAAAATATCGGTATCAGAAACTCTAATAACAATATTCGACTGCTCAGTGATATTTCAAGTTTGATAGATTATTTTGGTATCAGCTTCTTAATGTGAAGTACAACATAAATTTTTAACAACACTTGATTGGATCTTGTCATCTACAACTTGATACAATTGACAATTCCAGAAATTTAAATAAATCTGTCGGTTACCCAAAAATGATTTTATTTCCTCACTAGATCAATGTTTAGTAAAAAAATCTACCAGAGCTTCCTTAAATTTAGTATTCTTCAATTCTTTTGCAAAATCTGACTGTCGCACTTGGCTCCGAAATTGTGTAATCACTAAATTTTATTGATGGAAATAAATATTGATCGAACAGTGTTCCAAAATAAAGAATTTTTAAACATACAAAAGACGGTCCTGTACTCACAAAAGCCAGGTGTTAATTTATAACTGCCATTACAGGCGCATACGTGACTAATGTGATGTATCTCCGCGAAGAACTGGTCGGAGTGACGTAATCATAAAAACATAAAAAGCCGGCAGAGCGATTCCAGCTTCCTATAGGTAAGGGTCGTCTCTCTCATACATACGTAATAAATAATTATTTAAGCAACGATATTGTAAAGTCCTAGTACTTAAAAATATAAGCAGTAGTCAAAGTCGGTTCTCTCAAAAAATCGTCTTCTACGCTTATTATGTTTACTACCTTCAGTTTCTTCTTCTTCTTCTTCTTCTTCTTCTTCTTCTTCTTCTTCTTCTTCTTCTTCTTCTTCTTCTTCTTCTTCTTCTTTCTTCTTCCTCTTCTTCTTCTTCTTCTTCTTCTTCATCGTTGTCTTCGAGGTTGTGGTCAATATTTTGATACATTATTCCAACTGTATCAAATATTAAGGTATATTGCAGATAACAAATTATCATTCAAATATTTATTTTATTTTCTTCTTTTTATTTATTTAAGACCTTATTAAAAATATTGAACTAAAAAAATGAATCATGCATGCATTACAAAATATTTTTTTTTCCATTGATTTGAATTTTCATTCATCATCATCTGAATCATGTCTGTCGTGGTGTGACTCGTCTTCATCATCCATTGAATTGGATTCTGTAAAAATAAAACGTAAATTATAAAATAAAAGTTTTTTGTAAATTGATCCGAACATATTCGATAAAGAATTGATTATTATGAACTTACTAGGGACTTGGATAATCAAGTCACTCACGAAAGTTAGCAGGTGATCTCCTTCGAACCATTTAAATACCAATTTCAATGTCTTAGTCAATCCAACCATACTCTAATGGGTCCAATGTGGTAGGTTGATTTTTGCAAGCATTTTTCCAAACTGTTAAAATATAATGTGCTCTAAGAAGTTGCTGGTAAAGCTCACTTTTACAAGGTGGTATTGAGCTTGCAACAAAATTAAACATTTTTTTGCTAAAATTTTTATTGACGTCGGAAGCTTTATAATTGCTGACG